TTAAGTTTAATTATTATTTATTTATATTATTTATGTATATTATATTATTTATTTATATCATTGAGAATTTTTCGCATTTGCAATAATATATATAGCCGAAAAGAAGATTATATCCCTAACAACACACGTGTCCAAAAGACGTCCAAAAAACATCTAGACGACATTCAGAGGATGTTCAACATCATCTGGATGTTAACATCCATGTCCAAAAGACGTCCACATGACATCCAGAGGATGTTAAACAGCCACATGTCCAAAAGATGTCCAAAGGACATCCAGACAACATCCAGAGGACATGTGTGTTGTTATAGAGATTGCACGATTTACAAATTCTTTTATAACACTAGTTTACAAGATTTTGTGCCAGAGCATTTGAACACTGTTTCTAGAGTAATTTTAAACGCTGAGCACAAATCTGCCATTAAAAAATTTCTACCGCGTCAGGTCTTTGAGAAAAACGGGGTTGAAACCCCTAAAAAATACGTTTTTTATCATCTTTGAAAATTCGTAGCAGACAAATTCGATATACAAGAGACTTCAGACAGGGCTTAAATAAAAGCTTGAACATTGTACTTTAAAGAAAGTTGTTTCCATTTTTGACAAAAAAAAAGTGTGAAATTTGTAAACTAGTGTAATTAGATGTTGAATATCAATGCGGGAGGGGGGGGGGGAAGAAGGATAGAAATCAGTGATAGTAGTAAAATATCGTCATTGTGTCAGAATGTCAGTCGAATCGATAGCATAGAAAACATATATATATATATATATTTCTATGGTCGAGTCAATCGAGCATCTTCATTATAATTATGAATGAGCGCGACGTACGGCACGGAATGCGGAATTTTCTGTAAGCACGCATGCGCACAATGTGTATATTGTGTATGTCGGACACGTGGTAACCCATAGACATCTATTTGTCATGCGCGCGGTAATGGCGATACCGTGACACTTCTCGAACTCGTGTAAACGATCCGAAGAATGTTGATATGCAATCGAAGAAATATCTCCAGTTAACATTGGCGATACTTAAGCCGCACGTCGTCAAATCCCCTTTCGCTCTTCAGGTATGAGTATTTAACCTTATTTTTCAAGAAACGCGGAAACGCAGACAAATCGCAGGATATGAACAACAAATTCGATTCGCGCTTTTAACGCGCGAAGAAAACGAGAAGATTTAGAAGGATTATGACTGAAACTCGCTCTGATTTTTCAGAAGATTCGCGATTTAATAATCGACAATAATTTCAAAGTTGTCAGATCGCGCAGGGCGACGATATCTCGCGAAGAGGCGGAGTTGTTTTACAAGGAGCACAGAGACAAGTTCTTTTACAATCGTCTCGTGACATTTATGTCCAGCGGCCCATCCGATATTCACATCCTGGCGGCTCACGATGCTGTCGCCAAGTGGCGACAGTTGATGGGCCCTACTAAGGTCTATCAAGCACAATACAATGCTCCGGACACTATCAGAGGCATGTTTGGTCTGTCGGATACCAGGAATG